ATTTCAGCTGATGATCATAGAATACAAACCAACACCATATAAACATGCATTATGTATAGATAGAATTCCAGCAACAAGTTTCTTTGACAATGAATACATGGGAATAAAATGCTGAAAGCCTATTGACATTGTATAAATAAATTACCAGAATCAAACAATATTGAGAAAAAAATATCTAATATTGCATGCCCATACTTACTGAATTACTTAAACAGTAATATCAATGAAATATGAAAAGAAAGATCATGGGGCTTATCTAACCTTAGAGAAATTTATAACATCAATCTTAATTCTCAGCACCAGAACTAATCTTATAAAATATTACTGATAATAATTAATACATATATATGTGTGTGTGTGTGTATGCATGTATGTGTAAATTAACCCCCATAAAATTACAACTAAACACTGACAAAACTAAGCACTTAATTAGGCTTTGAAACAAAAAAAATTTAGTTAAACTATGAAGAGCTAAAGCAAAGACTATTTAGTAGCAGATTTAACATCTAGACTTAAATGTGTGGAACACTGACAAGAGGGTCAAAAAATAAAAATATAATTAAAAATTTGATAGTTCAAAAACAAAGTGTGCTCCATCCAATAAACCTAAATGTTAAAACTTAACCAGTTGGTTCTTTTTACTGAATGAATCAAGAAACTTCTCCAATGTTTGTATAGGGACCCCAAGATGATAGAGAGTAGAGCAGAGACAGTATATAAAAGCCATACAGCAGAAGCAGAGTTTAATATAGCTTTAGAAATGCATTTCCAAAGAAAAAAATACAACTTTTAACACAAGTATATATAACACATGCAAAACAACCAATGTGCAATATCCATGCAATTGTGACCACAATACAAATGGAGTGAACAGTATTAAAAAAAAAAAAAAAAAAAAAAAAAAAAAAAGGGGAAAACTTTGTAAATAATATGCATATTTACTGCTGCTACTACCACTACTACTACCACCATCTTCTGAACCTTCAGAAACATCATCAATGCCACCAGGAAAGAATGTTGTTGATTTGGTATTTATTTCTGGAACCAATGATCATTTGAGTTGTCATGCATTTAAAGCTAGGTGGTTTCCAGAAATTCTTTTGAAAATACTGCCTTATGAGTATTAAATAATCAATAGGAAAAGTGAAAACATCAATGTGAGGGTTCAAGAGGTTGGTTCCATAAGTATCCAGATTAAGAATTGAAAAGCAGCCCAAATTTTGAGCAGGTTCTTTTACCTGTTTTAGTTCCTAAATTTATGGGCTTGGATTAGGGATCAATAAGATTTTGTTTAATGGTGCCTTAACTCTTGGGATCAGGGATTAGAGCAGCAAAAATTTTGAAACTCCACCTTCAAACTAAAAAAACCAAAGAAAATGAATTGAAATAAATATCTACTTGGTATAAATTAACCACTTATACAAATATAACTTAAAAATCATCATCCCTCTATATATTCATTAGTATTGTGGAAAGTTGTTTATTTTCTTTCAGAAATATTTTGCAAGGTCAATGTAATTAATTGAATTCAAAAACACTTATAAACAAAGCTGCAAGTGCTAGCAAGGGTGAATAATGACTGGTGAATAGCACAATTTACAATTTAAAAAAAAAAAAAAAAAAAAAAAAAAAATGTATTGCTCACGTTTGTGGTAGTAAGACATACCAAAGCAAATGAAGTGGGCTTTTTGTATATGTAGCTAATTTCTTAAGGATTTTAAAAGATCCCATGTCTTTCAAAGTAATCAATAAATCTTAAGTAGAAATGTATTTTTCTCTATGTATAATTTCAATAGCTACTTAATGAAAATTAACTTTTGAAGTGATAGTAAGCTTATTTAAATTAACATCTTCATTTTCTCCTATTACAACTTTAATTTCAATCAAATGCATATAAAAAGAATATTTCATGTACATTTGAAAATAAAACATGACTAAAATGAAACAATAAAAGCTGAAGTATATCAGCTATAATTCAATCATAAACATCAAATTAAAACAATTTTCATGAACATTTCATCAAATATAAAATTGCTTCTTCCCAATATACGATTTAATCAAATAGAATTTAATTTTATAATGAACTTTTGATAATACAGCCAGAGCCTATCAATAAAGGAACTATATCCTGATATATGTTGCATTTTAGAGAATATTCTATTTGAACATAAGGAAAAAGAAAATTACAGTTTACAATTATTCTCCTTTGGCATCTTTTTATTTATCTCTTGAAATCAAAATTCTTTTGGTCTAAAGTGTCAGTGAAAGGTTTGTTACTAAAAGAAAATTATTACACTAAAAATCTTTTTTTGAAGTAAACACAAATTCCAGGTTAAAAAACAAATTATACAAAGAGATAAAAAAAGAAAATAAGTCTTTGAAAAAAAGAGTAAAGAATGAAAAATGATAGTGAAAATAAAGTGAAATCAAAAATAAAAAGAGAAAAATAAAAAGTCACTATGTTGATTCCTATAATTCATCACTATCAATAATTATTTTCATCAGTAATTTTGAAGTCGTGAAAATAAGTATTTCATACCAACTTAGCTGTATATGTAGACATACATCAACTTGTAACATGAATATATTAGTCTGATGCAAAAGTTCTTAGTGACATTGCTCGTTAAGAGTTAGAGAAATCCTAGAAGTGTTCATTCAGTTTGTTATTGTTATTTGGTTACAAATCTTAGAAAAAAAAAAAAAAAAAACAGAAACTAAGAAAATGGGTTTGATACGAACTTCCAGAAAAGAACAATTACTATTTAAAAGGTATAGTGACTAAAATGAGAATTCAAAATGAAGAAAATTATAACAAGCTACAAGACAGCTTTCAACATATCAACCTAAATGGAATCTACTAAAAGTGGAGGGGGTTCCATATTTGGTGGGGCTCAATTACTGAAATATGAACAAACAAACACTAGAGTAAGAAACTAGTTTGTATGAATGAAGCATTGGAACAGAAATTAAAAAAAAAAAAAAAAAAAAATCTTCAAGGAAGTAAATTGCTAATTTTGCTGCAGTACTTCAGGATATAAATGTGAAGCACCAAATGATCATGGAACTAAGAAGTCTTTCTATTTGAAAATGTTTTCTCCAGAACTATGTCAACTTCAGACTATAATTTACTTTGTTTCATTCAATGCTCCTTGATTCATCTGGAATTTCAACAATATATCAAAAAAATTCTTTAAAGAATTCATTGAATTAAAATCAATCTTTTATAATAAAGTGCACTTTTCTTAAAAGGTGACCTAAGGTCAGTGAAAGCAATGAAAATATCTTTATTACTGAATTACAAATACTGTGAATTTATGAATAAATGATTTTGTTAGAAAACTTTTGCATCACTCTAAGATAAACAAATGCTAAGTGAACAGAATTTCAATAAATTCTAAACACTCAATATAATTAATTATATAGCGGATTTGAATATACAGTTAGGAATGTTGATTTCTAAAAACAATCTACTTCTAGTTAATACACAGCCATTCCGGTATTTAAAAAAAATTGAACTTGATAAATTGATCAATATATGTCAAAGTTAACATTTCTCATTGAGTCCCTTGATTTTATCCTATATCTATAAAAATATACAAACACTGATACTCAAATAATGAGAATATACAAACACTGATAATCAAATAATGAGAAATTATACAGAAGTGATCTAAAAATAGTAAAATAGATAAAAAATAAAAGTTTGCAGTCAAAAAATTTGCTAATAAATCTGACTAGATTGTTTCATCCTATAATAAACAAACGTACTTTCAACTTTCCTCTATTTCTTTTATATAGAAAATGCTTTAAAACAAAAGAAAATGTTAAAGTTATCCTAAAAACAAAATTAGATAAAAATGGCTTTAAATTGAAGATTTTAAAAAAATAAATAAAAAAGATAAATGAACCAAAAAAAATTTTAAAAAATAAAAAAAATTAAAATTAAAAAAATAAACCAAAAAAAATCCAAAACGAATGATTTTGTGTTTACCTATCTAGAGCAAGCTCAAGTAAATCCTCATAGCTGACACTGTCGGAAGTCTTGTAGTTGACAGACATGGGAGATAAGTCTTCAGAACTTTGATTAGCAGAGTATTTCTGCCTTGAAACATTACCAGTCTTGCACCAAAATGGATCTTGGTGGTTATAGAATCCCAACTGTTCTAAGTTACACTGTACAACCTGTAATCGGTACTTCCTACGTGGGAATGTGGATGACCCTGAGTGTTCTGTAGATATGCTAGAAGTCCTAACAGAATCTCTGGGAGGCAGGGTAGGGGGATTTGGAGGTGGAGGTGGTGGAGGGGTTGATGGAATTGGACAGTCATTTTGGCAAGCAATAAATACATTATCATCATCATCATCATTGTCCTCTGCATCAAAATCAATAGGAGGGGGTGGGGCAGGGGGGAGCAATGGAAGATCATGCAAACAGTCATTCACAACAGACTGGGGTTTGGCAGTGGTGAAGGACACAGGATGAGAGAGACTATATGCAGAGGAAGATGACTGAGAGTAGGACGAGTCACTATGGTGAAGGAGAGGGTACTTCCTCATTCGAGGACGAGCATTGAGCAGGTGATCAGGACGAGTAGGTTTGCGTGGGGGTAACTTGGGAGGTAAAAAGGAAGAGAAGTTAGGAGAAAGAGATAAGGTCTTGCTGACATTCTCATGCCCCAACATGCTGTCATTGTTGTTGCTGTAAGTACGGGGTGGCACTGCAGGAGTGCAGAAGAGATCAGTCTGAGAAGGTAGTGGTGGGACATCAAAGCTTTTACTTCGGCATGCTCTTGACAAGGCCACAGTCGCATGCGAAGACTGGGTTGTCTTCAACACAGTGGTGGTAGGAGTAGGAGTAGTAGTAGGTAGACTAGTAGTAGTAATAGTAGTAGTAACACTGGTAGTACTAATAGTGGTAGTAGTAACAATAATGGCAACAGGAGGAGCAGTAGTAGTAGTAAACTGTAATTTAGGCAAGGGAAGAGATGGAGGTTTCATACCTTGTCCACCGCGCCCTCCACGAATAGGAATAGCACCACCTCGAAGCATTCTCAATGGGTTAGTATCAACTTCTTCATCTTCACCATTTGCTGTTGGAACAACTTTAGTTGGAATTCCTTGGGGTTCTCTTAAGTTTCTGAAATGAGAGTGATCCATGCTCTCTGTAGACATTGCTCTCTGATGGTCCATTGAACGTCTGATTCGGCTCTCACGAGCGAGTTTACTCATTATTTCTCGGGGTGATGGCTCAGCAAACTCTTCATCAAAACTCATCTTTGGTGACATTATGTCCCTGGTTCGCTCAGAATGACTGTCAGATCTTCTTTCGTAAGTGCCTCCAAACCTATCCTTGGCTTCAGAATCCAGATCCTTCTCCTCAGCAGATCGTTCTGAACTAGATGCTGGAGATGACTCTTTACTGAATGAGTAGGAGTCACTACCAAGACTATAATGACCATTTTCTCTGTCCACACTATGGGCTCGCTCAACAACTGGATCTGCTTTGGGAATAGCTGTTGGGGGTGGTGGAGGTGGCACATCCATTCTGGCCACAGGTTCTGTTCGATTTTGAATTTCAGGGCGAGAAATCGCCTCTGACCTAGTCAAGTGCTCTATTCTGGGTGGTGATTCTTTTCTGAAAGAGTGGGGTGGTATTTTGCTTGGATGTGGAATCCTGCTAGGCAATTCAGATTTCGGAAGATGATCCAGCTTAGAAGTAGTAGATTCTGATTTGAAGGAATCTAGCTTAAGTTCAGGTTTGCCCATAATGTCTGGTTTAGCTAATACATCAGATTTAATCAAGGAATCTGTTCTTTGAGTAGGTTCTGGTTTTCCAATATCATCATTTTTATGCTCCAGTCTTGTCAGATGGTCTGTTCTAGGAGGATTATCTGGTAATGGTGGAGCCTCTTTTAGATGTTCCATTCGTGGAACAAGGTCTGGTTTGGGAGGCAACTCTGGTCTTGAGATTTCAGGCCTTGTGATTTCGGGCTTTGAAATTTCTGGCCTCGAGATTTCTGGCTTTGAAATTTCTGGCTTTGAAATTTCCGGCTTTGAAATTTCCGGCTTCGAAATTTCCATTTTGGATATAGAATCCACCCGAGGAGTGGGTTCTACTCTATGTTCTGGACGAGGCTTTGGAATAGGTGGTGGTTCTATTTTTGACATTGCAGCTCGGGATTTGCTCAATGGTTTAATTTCAGGATCCTTCTTTGTAAGGGTAGTAGCAGCATTTGAAGAGAATGTGGTTAGTTCAGGTTTAACAGGAGATGTGACTGAAACATCTGGCTGATCAGTATCACGAGGTGGTGGGGGAGGAGATTTGGGTTCCTTGTCACTAACAGAGCCACGCATTACTAAAATGTTATAAGCTTCTTGCGACTCAGGAGGTAAGTCCTCATTCAAATCAGCTTTGATTGCAATTTCTTCAGAAAATGTCTTCTTGCGGTCTTGCTTTGGACTACGTTTGATAGACATTTTCAGTTTTTGCATAAGTTTAGGAGATTCTGGTCCGCTATCAGATTTGGGGCTTGTTGGTTCACCTTCCATGTCATTTTTATTGCACTGCATGGCAAATTCATTTGCCAGAGCAATGGCATTATTTATCATTTTCTCATCATGAGCCGACATTGGTTTTACTTTTGCTTGCTTTCTTGGCTCAGGTTTTGTTTCCCGAGAGGGCATTATCTGAAAGACAAAAGAAAATAGCAACTTTCTTATCACTGGTTAACAATTACTAATTAACAGGGAGAGAAAACAAGATTTTTATATATTAATATATATCTTTTTAATAAAATCCTTTAAAAATTATACACATCCACTCTAATGTCCATATTTTTTGGAGAGGGGGATCATGGTATTAAAACAAAAAGGCACTTAGACAATATCTAGTGCAATAGCCGAGTAATATTTTGAATTGCACAATCTTCTGCAAGCATTAACTACTACTTAATTCAGAAACAGACAATCACAATATTTTGCCTACATCAGTTTATAAAGAACTAAATAAAAAGTAGAAAAATAAACCAGGCGAGTGAGGTTAATTACAAAATATATCAAATTCCACAAACCTTTATTTTAAAGGTGTTCAATAATTTTACTTTATACTTCTTGAATAATACATGCTTTAATTGATGCTTCTTGATTTTGAAGGTTTCCTCTAATGCAATAACTAAGAAAAAATTTCTAGATAATTGTTTAATTTTAAAAATGAATAGACAAAGCCAAAAACTAGCAAATAAGTAACATGAAATCAAGTTAGTTCCATTTTTTTTTCCTTCTTTGATAAACCTCTCAGTTAAACTTTAATTAGCATTTATTTTTAAAGCCAACTCCAAGCATGAAGAATAACAAAAATAAAATAAGAAACTAGCAGGCTTGACCGTGATAAGTAAAGCAGTAGATTGAAGTCAAACAGACAGAAATGATAACCTAATGAAGCAATTATTTAATCCAATAATAAAGGACTAAATTCATGATGTAAATCATTTGCATGGCTAATGATTGGAATTAGAAAAGAAAATTAAAAATCAAATTTATGAAGTTCCATCAAAAATTTTGAAGCAATAAGACTGATTATTTCCACCATAAAAATTATTCTTAATTTAATAAGCTTTTCTTTAAAACTGAGAATTTGTTAAACCACAATACTAAATATATTAGTATGTAAACATTAGAAATAATTCATAACATTTTTTTATAACAAAGACAAAATGTCAGTAATTGAAACTAGTTTACTCTTCAACTTGAAGGCAATCACATATGAAAATTACTTTTTTTCAAAAATATTGATTTTTAGCAGACTTTAATCCTGACATTGAAAATGGATTGATATATGGTATCATCTAAAGTCCAATCAATACCCAACTATTTATTCATATTGAACCATGTTTCATTAAACTAAAAACTGTATAAAACAATACTTCAAAAATAAAAAATTAAAAAGTAGCAAGTAAATATAACTAAAAAGTAAAAAAAAAAAATAAATTGAAATTTTTCTTCATTTTTTCCTCATTTTGTATTGAGCACTTCCAAAAAATATATTAAAATGTGAAACTATTTACATTGTTGCCATATTCAAGACATTTCAGCCATTGTACACTCCAGCTATGTGTCCTCAAGGACCGATGGGTTGGATCCTGTGACTTAACTCAAACTAGTGCAGTGGTGAATAAAAACTTAGAGAATTGAGTTAAAGGGAGATAAATGAGACATCCGTAAGAGGCATAGCACATGGAACTAGAACAATTTTGATGGATGAAATAAAGTGTTCAGTTCAAAATTCCAATCACCTAAAGGCCAAAAAATCGTGAATATGGCAAAAAAGATGAGGACAAGTCTAAATAGTGTAAATAATTACAATAGCTCATCTCAGAAATATAGACATATTAAAATCTGAAAGTTTCTATTTGGCCTATCAAGAATGAAGACTTTAAACCAGTTTAATTTGTGTTTAAAAAAAAAAAAAAAAATTGTAAACTGAGAAAAATTGTCAACTTTTTAATCAATGCAAAGGCATTGGCCATTTCTCCTGTCTGTGAATGAACAACAGAAAATATATTTCATATTCTCATTTAAAACTTCATTTAACATTTTCCAACAATTTCAACACCATTAAATTTTATAAGGGTGTGCTGAAAAGTTTTCACCTAAATGTACTTCCCAAAACTTGACCAAGCATCAAAATTTTCTTTTGGTGAAAAAGGGCTTCTTGACTGAACTGAGAATTTTTCAGCACCCACTCATAAATATGCTTTTAATAAATTTTATATATAATTTTTTTAATATGGTCTGAACTATTATCTGTTATATCTAACAGCTGTTTAATATGGATTAAAATCTCTAAGTGTAGATGATAAAAAAATCTTTTATGCAACTGGATATCAGAAAGGAATAAAAGATATACATCTCTTTGCTACACAATATTTTTAGATAATTAAAATTAGAAATCAACTTACCATTTCAGTTCTAAAAAGCTGCATACTGCTGAAAAAAAGCAAAATTAAAACCCTACCTTCTTTCTATTATAGTCTCATAATAATTTGTTTGATAGACTAGAATATTATCTACAGAAGACATAACATCTCCGATAGTCAAATGTATCTTTGATATATCAGTAAATTTCAATAGAACTAATACCTTCTTTTTCACTATTCTTTATTACATTTCTATTAAGACGTTCTGTATAGGATGGATATTTTTGTTTTATAATTATACATACATCCTCATTCACATATTTAAATATGAATACAGGTAATGTTTTCACTTATTTTTTTATAAATTCAAAAAGAAAACATGCAGATTTTTAACATCATTTTCACTAACAGATATTTAGATGTTAATTTCTTAATTCAATACTTCCTTATATTTCTTTGAATTCACCACTAATAAGAGTATAAAATATATTAAGCATAATTTGTTAAGCCATTAATTACAAATGAGAATTTCCATCATTACAATTCTATAACTGAAATTTCAATGATAGAAATTTCTTCCAGAGTTAATAAATCTATTAAAAGAGAAAACGATGATCCAGCAATCAATATTTTAAAACCCCTTTGTTTGAATTCTTACATTAGCTTAAGCATTATTTGTTAAAATTTGAAAAAAATTTTCGGACTTAAAAACTCAACTTCTGAAATAATATTCCTACAATTCTATAGCATTATATAAAATCATACATAGAAATTTTAACCTCACAATATTGAATATATTTGACTGTACTTATAGAAAAAAAGGGAAAAAACTGATTTTTCAACAAGCATAACTTACCAGATTTTACAATTATCAAAAGCAAACAAAAGACTTGTTTTGTGCTTGCAGAGCAACTAGCAATTCTATTTCAGAATCTAATGGTAAGAATCAAAGAATAGCAAGCAAGTTTAAGCAGAATGGCCAAGCCGAGGCATCCAAGAGTTGTTAGATAGAATAAGAAGTATATGCAGCAATAACTGCCTGCACTAGAATCAAGTTTGGGCATTTTTTTTTTTTTTTTTAGAAAGAAAACCAGAAAGAAGTAACAATATTCAGGTAAAACATTACATTTAAATTCCCACACAAACCTGATTTTACTCAATATTCGAAATAAAAATTTTTTTAAATTAAAAAAATACAAAATTTAAAGTGTTAAATCTCTTCAAAATAGACTGTCATAACAAAAATTATTTTAACTATAGAAAGAAAGTTTTTAAAAAACAAAATTTAAAAAAAAAAATCTTCCAAAAAAATGTCTACATTCTCAAAACAGCTTTAAATAGTTTGACTACAATGAAATGAAAAATTATATATTTTATATCACAAATTACTGAAATTTATGTATCATAAAACTTTGGTATATTTGTCAATATTATACAAGTTAATGCTCAGCTAACGAACTAATTCAACATATCTAAAATTCCTATTTTACCAAAATTTTCTGATAATTTAAATATGAAGGGATCATACTAATTCAAAAGTGAATTAGCATAAGAAAATATCATAGATGTTTCAATGAAAATTAAAATGTTTTTCGAGGCTAACACAGAAAACTAATCCAAAAACGAATGATTTTGCTTTTAAACTTAATACACAATTACCTTCACCATAAATGCATCATTTAAAAGAAATTTTTTAACTTACTAAAACAGATTTACTTTTAGTATTTTGCTTGCAATATTTCAATGAACACATTCTCATTACATACTTACACACACACACACACACACACAGCTTAGTCAAATGAGATAACTATCCACAGCACATGACTAATATTATAAGTAATAGTTCAATCATATTAAAAAAAAAAAAAAAAAAAAAAAGTTAAATAGGAATGTGTACTGGTCAGAAGAAAAATCAATGTTTTAATTTTTTCTATATAAAAAAAAAAAAAAAAAGCAATAATATATATATATATATATATAAAAAAAAATGGATAAATAACATTAGTTAAAGTTAGATCACCAAAAATGAATATATCAATAAAAAAAGTAAAAATGCCTTTGGAATCAAGAAAAAAAAATAATGTTTAGCTTGAATATTTGTTTCAATCATTTCAGTCTAGCTAATCTGTATAAAGAAAAGTCGAGAGAAAAAGAAAAATTGACACAAGAGATTATTTGACTACTAACTTCAATGAGGGAAAGTTCTTAAACATTCAATTCAAGTTATTATTTAACGAAAAAGGTGTGTGTGCGCGCGATGTATGTAAAATAGTATTTGTAAATATTTTATGTATCAATGAGCTTTCTAATTTCGTATTTTTCAGAAATAACCAAACCAAAACCATAAAAAAATGAAACCTGCATAACCAAAAAATTCAATTCAACTAAAATCAGTGAAAACAATTGAAGATTTATTATTGTTGTTGAAATTCCACACACACAAAAAAAAAAAAAAAAAAAAAAAAAAAAAAGACAAAAGTTGTTAGCATATTAACTGTTAATCTGATGTTTGCACAAACAATATTATAGTATCTTCTTTTTTATACTAATGAGTTCACGAGACCTTCAATAATCATTAGTCTTTAGATTCAATGTACTTTTAAGCACAAAAGATTTTTTTTTGTGGTAGTGGGATAAAATGCCCCAAAAGTGTTATATAACAAACAAATGAAATTGTTCATATGAATTAACCCCGATATTCTCTTGGGATTTATATATACCATTAGAATTGAAAGAGGTTAAGAGTAAGACTCATGTGTCCACAAATCTAGCTAATCTTTTCAGGTCATGCAATGAAGCATTAAAAACATGCAATTTCTTTTCATTCCTAATAAATTCAATATATTTTAAGAGATTTAATTGTCACAGCTGGTACATGTTTACATATTTTTTTTTATTACTATCAAATATTTGAAAAAAAAATGTACTACATTCATTTTATATAAAATAATACAAACAACAAGTGAAATATACCTTTAACAGTTTTCAGCATAATGAGATGCATATTTAATGCAAGCCCTCACCTATTTTTAAGAGTAGAATTTTTGCTGGTTTTTAACCAAATGTGCATAAATGAAAAATTGCTTATATATATATATATATATATATATATATATATAGCCGAATTACCCTCGTTTTGCTGCATGTCACATTTTTTTTGTAAGAAAAGGATTGATTTTAAATCATTATTATAATTTGTAGTGAAAAATGATGCATTTCAGCATTACTTAATGATCTTGCTGATGTGACCCTCCATCTTTTGGCTTTCTCCTAGATTTTGAAAAAGAGTCATTCCCTTGTTCAAATTTAAATCTTGGGGAACCCCTTTGATCAAAATAAAATATACTTATCCAAGTACCCTGGGTAATTTAGTTTCAGAATATATATGATTATGGGGATCTATCTCCAAAACCCTAGGAGGAGTTCAGTAATAGACAGAGGTTAAAATTATTTATACACACATACACAAATATCCAAGCATGAGAATCCACAATTTAAAGAAAATAAAGTGTGTGAAGAATGATATATAAATTCTATATAAAAAATGAATTATGGGTAACTGATTGGAAAATGAAAAAAAAAATCATATGTAACACATTAATGGAGAGGTTATTTTCTTAATTTTTATAGATTTTTTTTTTTTTGTATTCAAGAATTTGTTGACAGGAACATTGGTATAAAAGGATTTGTCATCTCAACTCTCTATGAGTTTATCTGTCATAATTATCCCCTTTAGTCTTTCTAACATCTTGTAGGAATTTTTAATACATGAATGACATTGTTCCAAAATATGGAGTTAAAAGTTTTCAATATAGCCTTCACTAGGGAGCTTAGAGAGCACTTCCAAATCCCTACCTCTCTTTACCAATATATGAAATTATGAAAAATTGCCAACTCATCAGAAACCAATGTTATTTCACTTTTAACAATGACTTTTATTAGTAGAAATTCAGATAACTGATGAGAGCACCCCTTTGCAGTGTTTTAGCTTCATGAGAGAATATGGTATATAAGAATTTATATAAACTAGTCCTTTCCAAAATATCTTACCCAAATATATTTCCAATATACTAATGATGCTTTAGTAAAACAATATTACATGATCTTGTAAATAAACTAAACATTGAATGTACAATAGAATTTATTTATGGAAAAAAAAAAAAAAATTACCTTCTGGTTAGACCATATTGATAATGATCTAAAAAACTAAATTATTTAAAGAACATTTCAAATTTGTAACCAATACTATTTAAATGAAGAGAATTACACTGAAAATATTTCAAAATTCCAATATTCTATTCTACATATGCTAAGAAAGCTCATGAGATTTACGAAACTAGAGAAATATAAATAAGCTTAATAAACCTACACACAATACTACCTACTAACTCAAAAATGACTACAACCGAAAAGAATTTAAACTTAATATAAAATGTTACAGCTACTTCTAAAACAATAAAGAGATTTAATTCATACAAAAGAAAATAACCACCATAAACCTGAAGCAGGAATTTACATTATAGACTATAATAAATAAAACTGCAGGTGAAACTTCCAGGAATTTAAATAAAATATATGAACACAAAAGACATCTTTTACAAAACAAAATAGGCACTAGTTATTTATTGTAATGAAACTGACCATAATCTTGAATTAAAGAATACAATACTAATTAACAGATAAAGTAATTTATCAGAATGAAAATGTATAGAAAGTGAATTAATTTCTGGAGTCTCCCATGGTAAATTTATGCCCAGGTTCATATAGAATTTCACCTTTCTTAAAGCCACAGTTATTACAATGTGGAATATTTAAAAGGAGTGATAAAAACAAAAGCAATAAAAATCTGAATGAAGTTGGCGAGGTTGTACATCTAGACACATTGAATGAGAAATTTAAATCAAGCATATCTGCATCTTCAGCATTCTCTCTCAATGTTTAATTACAACCATGATTTCATTCACTCCCTATAATATATGATTCCATCAATAAAAAAATGTTTAGTCTGAAGTCCTTTTGAAGGGACAAATGCATTACATAGGATATTTTTCATTTTGTCATTCAGCTAGTCATAATTATCTCTTCTTAAATAGAAAAAAAGTTTTGTATTAAAATAAGAAAATATATCTTTCAAAATATTTTTAAAAGAAAAAAATTTTGAAAAATTTAAATATTCACAAGAATATTTCAGATGAAATTAAAAACATTTTATGCAAAAACAACTATTTACCGCTTAAGATTCTTTTATTAATATGATTTCATTATAGCAAGGTCTTTAACTTTTAGAGGAAGAGAGTTTGTAGGCATGGATTTAAATCAATTTTTTTTGTTCTTCCAAAAGAAAAATATCCTAAATAATTTTTGTCAAATGCATTCTTCAAAATTGCAGCTCCAGTAGCCAAGCTGATGCCAAATATAATTCTCTTAGAATATCTTAATGATACAAACAAGGGTTGAGAAGAGAGCACTGGTATTTGATTAATCACAACTCTATTCACTCATCATCTAGTAGAAAGCATAAGGCACCTTAACACAAGTCTTCTGGTATAGATAAATAGAATATGAATAAAGCTAATTGCAACTGAAAGGAAAAAATCCTGAAGAGTAACAGCCTAAAACAAGATGGAGTATAAAAATAAAAGTGAGATTTAACTTACAGGAACCTGAGGAGGAATCAAAGGGCTTTTATCGGTTGGTGACAGAGCTGAAATAGAATTACGCTCAACTTCATCATCATCATCATCTTCTGCTGTAGCAATTGGTGCTTGGTCTTCAATTTTTTGGGCTGTTGGTGGTGTACTACTCTCTTTAGAGGTTTTTACAGTTGTTTCTTCTTCCTTGTCTTGGAGTGCTTTCATAACTTCATCCATAAGAGATGGACCAAAATCTAAAGAACTCTATAAAATAAAAATAATAAAGTGTGTGTGTGTGTATTATTATATATAATTTTCTGTCTATACATTATTTCTATTTTTTTATTAAAAATAATTGTCAAACTTGGTCCATTTCATAATATATATATATATATATATATATATATATATATATATATATATATATATATATATATATATATATATTTTAACTACTTTTCACAACAATGCTTCCAATTCAGTAAATAGTGTGTGTGTAGATAAAAAACAAAGTAACTTGTTATTGGCAGATATCATAGTTTTTAAAATTCAAGACAATGATTTCAAATGAACTGGTGTGTGTTATTTAAGTTTATTAATTTTCCCCAGGCAGGAATATTTGTCAAGAGGCCAGATGTGATCTCAAAGTGGACAGGTCAGAGCATGTGTTTTTGATTTCATTTCTGATGCATACATCAGCCGAATGTGTTTTGGTTTTGGAAGAGTGTCTCTGAATGAAATGGTGTAAAATCAAAACATATGAGTTGGTCTTTTAACCCAACTTTAAGCAATAAAAAATTGAGCTATTTTGGCGTGTGAACAATTTGATGTGGGTAGAGAATTATGTATAAATCCAGCTCAATTTTGAGGAGATAACAGAGACGGACAAGTCACTTGAATTTCTGAGTCAACCTTGCTGAACACAGGCTGAGATTCCAAGTTGCTGTCTTTTGATATTTTGTATTAATAGATGCTAAATAGATCCAATTGTAAATTATTTTATTCACCTTCATTAAATCGTCTATATTTAACCAAATCTGGCATTATTATTTCTTTGATGAGAGCTTGACCTTCTTTCCAGTCAGTCCAATCATCAGCACAAAGTTTACCATGGTTTATTGGCTAAAAGACAGACAACATCTTTTGTCAGTAAGAATCACAACACATGAAGAACCAAAACTGGACGATCGACAACTTATACTGGCACCAATCCCTAAACCAGTTTGTAAGCTGTATAACTCCTTATCCCATAGCTGTGTGAAGATTGAGACATCAGAACAAATGGGTTCCAAACTGAATGGCTGGACATTGACAGAAAGCAAGACTAGACCAATGGAGCCTAGGACACATGTACAAGAAGGGGTTTATATAATTCAATGAAAATAGACAACTTTAAGGGTCCATTGGTTATAATTTATTTCCCCAGGGAATTTCTTTTTCCCTGGCTCATCAGACCACACTTCCAAAGGTGAAAAAAATGCTTTATATATATTATATATATATATATATATATATATTTTTATACATGAGGGGTATTATTAAGTTGATATAAGGTGATATAGAAAATATTTTTTAATGGTTACAGACATGGTAAAAAAATTAGAGAAGAGTAATATTTTTGATGATTGAAATTTATATTCAAATTTTTATTTCCTAGTTTAATATGTTGAGAAATTGGTTAAGGACCAGAAATTACCTATTTAAATGTCATAACAGAAACAATATATAGCTTAAAAAAAAAAAAAATATATAAAATGAGTTTTTCCAAATTAGGGGTTTATATGGAAAGAAAGGGAATAAAAAATATTAGATTTTTCCAAATTCTCTATTGTGTATGTTTCCTTAAAACCCTAATTTGGAAAAACTCAGATTTATATATCTTTTTTTTTTTTCTGTCAACGTTTATTGTAATTTAAGACAACCTTTAAATAAAATGTTGGTCTTTAACCACCTTATTCAATATTAAAAATATTAATAAAATAAATTTTTAAAATCATTTATATTCAAATTACATTTATTTCCCTTAGTTTAATAATTTGAAAATTAAAATGTCTATCAAATGTTAACGAAAAATATTCCCTATTCTCTATATCACCTTATATCAACTTAATAATACCCCTCAAGTGTATAAAAAAAAAAAAAATTATATGTAAATTTAAATGCATTTTTTCACCCTTGGAAGTGTGGTCTGATGAGCCAGGGAAAAAGGAATTCCCTGGGGAAATAAATTATAACTAATGGATCCTTAAAGCTCTCTGGATTTCATCCTCCTTGGGATTATCCATATGGATTACCAAGATTTTCATTTATAAATAGACACACACACACACACACACAATATCATCTTAAATCTAGAACAAAGCAAGATTCCCCCCTCCTCCATGAAGATATGATTTTGATGGAATGCAAGATCAGCAAAATATTTGGTAAGAGCTTTATAAATATTTCTCCCATTTGAAGTTAATTTTTGAAGGTGTTGCAATTCCTCTTGGCTTAACAAAAGGACATTTTTCACATTTTACAAACAGCATATATGAATTTGCCAGCAACAATATGAAACTTCCAATATACAAATATTCATAAAAATTTCAAATAGTACGACAAATAATTCCAAGAATTATTTAAGCTTACTGATCTCATTATTTAGTTAACATTTTAATAGAAACATTTGTGGTAAGAAAAAGCCCAAAACAAAAAATTCAAACAATTCTTGGCTCATCTCAAAATTATGGAAGGTATCACAAAAAAGTCTTGCTTAATAAACTTCTGCATGGAAAATTAAATTTCTTTATATTTCTTGCAATTCTTCATTATTTTAAAATTCAAAACATTACATGAAAAATAGTTATGAAGCATTCACTGTGTATCTTTTTAAAGAGTGGATCCTAAATTCATATTTTCATTATTATTAAATCAATAGCAGTGTGATTTTAACAAGTAGTCATCATATTAATGAATTTGTGCTAATGCTGTGACTTCAGATTTAACAAGAGAAATTTTATGATATGAAAGGCTATGAAAAACTTGGATGATAATAAAATCCTGAGTGTAAAATGTCAACCTTAATAAATATATTTAAATCACTTGACAAAGATTATCAAGAGTGCAATTGTAAATCTTACCAAAAACCAAGATGATTTAGTGAAAGTTAATTTCAATGTATGCTATGAAATATTTTAAGAAAATTTTAAAACTCAACAGTTTAATGCATTCAATGTCATAACACTTACAGTAAGATCTGGAACTTTGAATCCACCAAAATCATCATCAATTTCCTCAAAGTCCCGATAAGGTAGATCATCCCTTGATCCATCTGTTCGAATGGTTGAGCTGCTCTCCAGAGAATCACGACTTGGCCTACAATATACAATATAAGTTATAAAGCTTTCCATGGGAAAAAAAAACATGCAAATTTAAGATTTTTCAAACTTAATTTATATACAGCAGAGGTTGAACAGTCTTTGCTGTTTGTTTATTCTATTACTGCTTTTCATACAAAGAAAAACTTATCAAAAGTAACAGCAGATGTGTATTGATAAGCATTAAAAAATACAAATGCTAAAATAATTCTAACACAAAATCAAACAACAGAATTCATGTCCAAAAGTTATCCTACAGTTGAATGTTAAACTACTACTCTATCATGTTTTACTAAAAGAGTTATTCCTTGGAAATCTTTTATTAATTGCATAATATTAATAAAAACTATTGATCTTTTTTCTTTTTTTTTCAACTTTCTTAAAATTTTGATCAATCACTTATTTTTTTTCTAATACCAAGAAAAAGTGTTCCATAAAAAAATAATGATACTAACCATGTGTTACCATATCCATTGGTCCCAGCTCGAAGTAAATCTTGGTTAAGAGAAATATCTGATTGACTGTTCCTAATGATCCGGTCACGTGCAGGGCTACCTTCAGCAAATTTGGGCAGAGATATTGATGCACCACGACTTTCTTCTGTCAGTTTACCTTTTTTTTAAAGTGGTTGGGAAAAAAGAATAAGTATTTTCAAAATGGAATTTCAAGATTACAAATCAACATATTTAAATGTCATTTTCTGAGAAGAAAAAACAGTGTAGCTGTTGAAAGCTTACAAATAATGCTTTGAGGAGTTACATTTAATAAAGAGCTCACAAACACAATTCTACTAAAAAGACTCAATTGAGGTAGTTGCTATGGTTATTTCCTTTCAGTCTATGAGTCAGAGACAGAATCAAAGATGATACAGCATTCATACAAAATTTTTAGACTTTGTAACTGAATAAGAGATTGACTAAAAGTTATACATTTAATCTGTATAATTTGCGATATAACTATTGGCTGGTGTCATTGAAAGAGTTTGCTTTGATAAAAATGAGAGCTAAACATTATTTTCAGCTAAACAGGAATCATATTTTGTCTGATTTACAGTATATGTGATTGCTCATATGTATAAATTTTTGTTTATCTGATTTCCATTAAGAGGAGTTGATACTTAGAAAATAATAGAAAGAATAATAATTTCCTTACTTTAAAAGAATCTTCATGTACTACCATGTTGGCCAATCAGAGCTTGGCATAGAAAAAATATATTCTAACCAATCAGTTTTTTGTACACATGACACTTCTCTGGAATTGACAAAATTCAAACAACTCCAACATACATCTCGACAATTTTTTTTTTCAAATGTTGATGTCTACATCAGACATTATCTACTACAATTTCTATCAGTTTTCACTAACTTACAACTTTAGACACATACTGATTTCAGGTTGAACTTTACCAATTCAGCTGGGCTGACCTGACTACCAATAAAATAAACACTAAATTTGTTACAACACCATCTTAGGAGGAGGGGGGAAACAAACTTACAATTCTTTATAATCTGTATTTTTGGAAATTCCATTAGCATTGACAACTAATATTATCCCTTATGCTCTTCTCTTGCCATTTTGCCTGCATATTCTCATTTACACCTTCTAATCTTTGTTATTTGCTTGTTTTATCTACATATAAACTAATTCATGTTTGTGTAATACACTGGGTGTAACAGCAAAATTGTCCAAATCATGTAACAGCATCCATCACATAAAATGTTTACTATCTGGAGAAAAAAAAAAAAAAAAACACACACACACACACTAAACTAATTGAGTTTCTTTTTTCCTGATTTTCAGATAAGTCATTTAGCCATCTTGACACCATTTATCATAAAAATCACTGAAAAGCCCTTCGAGTTATTCAGAAAGAGAACAAGTTAAAATGATTTTGGGCCAGGCCAACTGTCTTCCCAAATGAGCAATGGTAAGAGGAAAAATATCATTCAGGCCTTCAGTAATGGTACCAACATTCATATTCTGGCTTCCATCTTCAAAGTCCATTCAAGAACCATCAAGAGAACGGTGAATAAGTTTAAAAAAAGAGGGAACAGTAGAGAGGAAAACTGGATCAGGAGGTCACAACAGGAAAAGTGATCATTTCAACTTAGAGATAAAGCGATCAATTAGAAAAGTTACAACTCAATCCATGTGAGAGAGGGGTTTCGACTATGACAGTCCACAGAGCAGTGAAAAAAACTTGCAAATGAAATTGTACATGAAACCTGTGAGGCACCTTGTTACTCCAGGACAGAAAATTAGGTTCGAGAGGGCAAAGATCATCATCTTGAATAAGTTGGAAAATGATCCATATATATATATATATATATATATATATAAACTTAATTTTAATCCTTCATGATAAATTAGCTATGATGAACATGTCATTTTCGTTTATGACCGGTTTCATCACGATTCTTGTTAAGCTTGGTGAGTAATTATACTTTCTTATTGCTCAAAGCAGAGTCCAACAGTGTTATAAACACCTCAGAGAATTTCAGTAAATCTTTAATCATTTCTAAGATACAATGGTTCAAACTTAATCTAACAGACAAATTTACTGTTACATGATTTGGACAATTTTGCTGTTATCCTTATTTACATACCAGGTATAAGTATAAATATTTTCTGCTGCATCTCATCTTTATTTTTTCAATAATTATGACCGTTTATCCACATTTGCTTGTCTTTCATCTATCTCTTTCTACACATATGTGTATACTACTGGACTCTCCATCGTTTCTCTGACATCAAGCAATACAGTTCCTAGGAACCAACTGCCAGACACCTGCATATATGATTTGATTATAGTGGTGAAGGATTTGTGCAGAACCAACCATACTTTTGTGCATGTATATATATATATATATATATATATATATATATGTATATGTATATAATGTATATATATATATATATATATATATATATATATATCTCACTAGCTTTCTTACTACCTACCTTTTCCTGCTTCAATCTTATCAGTTCCTTTGCACTTAATAATACAAACTTTTCAGTTCAAAAGTGTAATTGGTTCCAGCTTAGAAGCAATAGGGATCAGGCAAATACTACACTAATCCTAAGTAGAAAGTTGTAATAATTGTATTATAAACACATAAAATAATTGTAGATTATGGTCAAAGTTTGTAGTGAAGTTGACAAAACTTCACTACAAACTTTGACCATAGCTTTGGTGACAACTCCAAAAAATCATGGACATCCACGATTTCTCACAGTACACAAGTTATTACCATGTCAAAAACAAAATACGAGAATCATTTATCTTTTCCATTTTAAAATAGACGTGTGTGTGTGTGTGTGTGTAAAAGCAATTAACAAGATTTTGTAAAATTTTATTACTAAAAATGTCATATTTAGTGGGTGACACACACACACACATTTATATATAAGATGAAAATGTCTACCAGCCTAGAAATTGAAAGCCATACAGAAGAAAGTGTCCCATCAGAAATCAAGCTTGACTCTTTTCAATCAGGGAAACCACTTTCAAACAATATGCATCTTACTATTGTCATAGGGCAAAAAATACACATTTTGTTTTTTATTTTTTATTTTTAGACTGGTAGGCATTGATTTTATTGTTGGGTATAATTAAAAAAAAAAAAAAAAAAACTAATCAAACAGGTGCACCCACTAAATATTTATAGTAATAAGAAATTATATATCTCATTTCACCCCAAGCAAGGCAATAAAGATGGTGTTACTGAATGTGAGAGAATATGAGAAAAAAAAAAAAAAAACATTCAGGAGAGAGAACAATAAAAGAACAAGAATTAAGACAGAAAATAATGACTGACATTGCATTTACATTTTTGAAAATCAAAGTTGACTGGGAAGCAAGAAGCCAGGAGAGAGTTCCACAAGCGAGAAGTGTGAGAGAAGAAACTGTTAGGATAGAACTTGGTTACATTTACCCATTTCAACTGAAAAATGAGGAGACCTAACATTGCAAGTATTTATCAAAAAAGCATAGATTAGCTACATTATGCAAGTGAGAAAATGACTGAAGTCAAGATGCCAGGTCAGGACCAATAACATTCAGATTATTCTTTGGATTTTATCAAAAATCTTTAAATATACTCAGGAACACCAAACCAAATATGACAAATATTCAAAGCAAGAACAAATGGCAGACTTATAAATATGTAAGATAGATTCTGGAGAGAAAAAAATTGTCTAGGACATCACAGAGAACCAAGTTTCCTAACAGCTGACTTAGAAATTGATTCAATATAATCTTTTCACTTCATGTCTGTGGAAAACATAAGTCTAAGAAAGCACAACAATGTGTCACTCCCCTGGAGGTTAGCATCAGCAATGTTGATAGAAGGTAAAAAAAGTTTCATTTAGATGATTAAAAGGGAGCAGTTTTGTTTTGAAGACATTACAATTAATAAGCAATTCCTTGCCCCAGTTAACAGTATATTGATAATTTGAGATCAGCTGCCAATTTGAATTTATTGAATCACTAAGACTTACTATTAAGACAGGAATAAATGGTTATGTCATCACCATAGATACAGAGTTGAGAACAGATGCCATCAGGAAGACTGTTGATGAAAATTTCGAATAACATAAGCCCAAGGATAGAGCCCTGGAAGACATCTGCATTAATGCAAAAAAAATCTAGAAGAGTGGCCATTCAAGATAACTTTCATTTCGCAATTTGATAAGAAAGACTGAAAAAAAAAAAAAAAAAAAAAAAAAATTTGTAAAGAAATATTATAACCTTTCGACTTGTGAAGAAGATCAATATACAAAACCCTGTCAAAAGTCAACACACCAGCAATTGACCTAGAGAAGCGAAAGCCATATTGCTTATCTGAAAGAAGACCCTGTAAAGTGAGATGCTTAACCAATTCAGAGTTGATTAGAGCATTAAGAACTTTAACAAAAAGAGGTAGAAGACTGATAGAAGAATCAGATGATTCACCAGAGTTCTTAAAGGCAGGAACAACAGTATAGGATTTCCAACAAGCAAGAAAGCAAGATACAGTGTGGCACTTATTGCACAGTTTAGGGAGAACAGGAGTACATTTCTTAAGGACTATTGCAGGGATATCATCAAGTCCACAGGCTTTCTGAAGATCCAGTTTAGAGATAACAAAAACTATAGACAGAGTTATATACATATCATTCAATAGGGACGCAGTTCCAAGTGGAAAGTCAGGTGAAGATACTCCAAATGAGTCAAGAATAGAATTTGAAAATTTACAAGCAAATATCCCACTTTATCAATAGAAGTTAATACCACAAATTTAGTGAAGAGAATAGGAATAGGAGACTTACTCTTATTTAATACACTATTACAAAGTCACCAGTAGACAAGTGCCTAACTTGTTAGAAGCTATGGTGTCTCATTCTATTTGCAAACAAAAAGTTAACTTCTTTGAGGGCACTAGACTTCTATTGTGATCAGAACTATCATGCTGGAACACTCAGAAGTGATTCTTGTGGGCTTTAGCAGCAGAAGAGGCTAGTATGAACCAAGGAGAAGATTGTGGTTTCACCTGGTATTTCCAAGAAGGAACAAAAACATGAATGCCATCTTTGACCCAAGAGAAACCACCATGGCATGATTCTCAATAGAAAGGTTAAAAATTTCACTCCAAGGGACATCTTTAAGAGAGCCACAAAATGAATCCTAATCAGTATACTGGTAGCAGAAAGAAGTCTTGTGAATAGGAGGTTCATTTCTAATAGACGATGCAAAAGAAATATCAGCAGAAACTACAGCATGATCTGAATTGTGAAGAAGACAGAGTTGTAATGTTCACCAAGAGCTAGGTGAGGAGGTAAGGAACAAATGGAGTAAAAAAGCATGATGATCAGATTTATTAGGAAAACAACTAGGGAAATCCACTATTTAACTAAGAGACTCACCAATGAAAAAATTGAAAGTCTGAATGCTGGTTACATTAGTAACATTAGAATTAAAATAACTAGACACACAATTGTTTGCAGATAGATGCAAATAGAGAACCATTTCTATATTGTAAATTTTGTTATATATATATATATATATATATATATATATATATATATCACACACAAATACATAACTTCACAGAAAATTATGTCCAAATGAATTAGTTGTGTGCAGAAAATCCTCAGCAAACTCAAAAAATTTGGTCAGTGTTGTATAACAAATTGCAAAGACTTTTACAGTACACTGGAGAGAGAAGAGAAATTTAAATGCAAAAGAAGAAATACTTACAAAATGACATTTAAAACAGCTTTGAAATCAAAGTGCATGAAAGAGCAAAAAAAATGTTAATACACAAGGAAGGGGGAGGAGGCAATACAAATAAACATTTTTGTTCTTTAAATATTTTCCAGCTATATTAATCATATAAAACAAAAAATAACTGATTCAGAATTTTAGCATCAGTGGGACAAATACACCTTTTTTTGTTAATCAAATTTCATAAAGCATTATTTAAATTAAATGGATGGCACAAAATCCATATCTTAATTCATGAAAAATTTGCAAACAGGAATAATTTTATGCCAAAATATTAGTATTTTAAGTAGGTTTGTTGTTTTGCATCACTTTTTTTTTATTTTATTTGTTAGTCTTTAAAATCTATTGAAGAAAATTAAATTTTAAGTAAAAAGTTCCAAAGAAGCAAATCTTGTTTGTTTACCTGGACTTGAAATTTTTACTGGAAGTTTATCATAATTCTCTCCAATAAAAGGAATGTCACCAAACACTGCACCATCATAGCCAATATGGCCCGTATGACGAAGATCATCTTTGGGGCCACTGATCATGTCTGCACGGAGCTTTCGCCCAGATTTTCGACTTGATTCTGAGAGAAAAGAAATTTATTAATTTGAAAGCATGGTAATTAATCTAATTTTACCCAAACCGCTAATAAGTTGGCTCATTGATTAGGTGTGTGGTTGATTACATTTGTGCTAAGGTAATCCTAATTTATGTGCCATATATCCAAAACAACCAAGTGCCTTATGAAAGCATATATGAATGTTTAAAAGTTGAGAGTTCAACAATTTTAATAGCTGCTATTTTTTTAAGATACCCATAAAAGGAAAGATGCTGAAGTTACAACTAAAATAGTTTCATAAGCTAATAACAAAAATCTTCATTAATAGGTTTTTGTTTTTAGAAACTACCATTGACTTATCTCTTTACAATTAACTACTATTAAATTATACTCTTTACAATTAGAGATATGATGACTTATCATTTTTCTAATTCATGATTTATTACTTAATTTAAATAGCCAGTTTTTATAAACGATTTCTATTAGAAATTGAAACTAGATTAAAAAAATGAAAACATTCAACCATACGTAGAACTGACGTACATTGTAAAACTAGAGACTTATCTTTCCCTCCTCATTCTCTTAAGTTTTTAAACCATCAGGAAAAATAAGTTTGTGTAAAATACAAGGGGTACTGAAAAGTTCACAGCCAAACTCACTTCCCAAAATCGGATCAATAATCATACATCAGATTTTCAAAAGAACTTTTTAATCAAGCCAAGAACTTTTCAGCACATGCTCTTATAATAGCATTTTTTTTTTTTTTTTATTTAAAAAAAAAAAAAAAAATTTTTTTACATTTTTTAAAAACGAAAAGAAAACAAGTAAAGGGGGATAACTTAAGATACCAAGCTGTCTCTTAAAATGAGGTCTTTTTCTAGAATTATAAAAGAAATAAGTCAAAAGTTTTATAAACATCATTTGTAGCTGTTTGAAGTTATAAAAAAATTTAAAAAGTTACCTTTTCTAGACAATGTGGTACGTGGCAGTTCAATTGGGCTTGTCTTTGGCTCAATAAACGGTATAGTATTGGTGGCATCAAACAATCCACATTTTCCTGTATCCAGTGCTCCTTTCCAGAATAATTTTGAGGGAGCATTGTCAGGGCTATAATGAGGAAAAAATAAAAAAAAATTAAATAGGTTTAACATTTGTTCCCAATGATCATCTAGCACACATTAATTCCACATTTTCTAAAACTTAAAAAAAAAAATAAAAATGTGACAGGGAAAATCATTAACTACTTACTTCTTATCTAAAACAATAATCACATCATAAGCCTTATAATTCAGGTAATCTTTGGGAACAGTTTCATCAGGGAAGTCTGCCACAGCTTTTACCATTGTAGGGCGCATCTGAAAAGAAATATGTACTTAAAAGTAAAATTCTTTGAAATGTCTTGCATATATTTTTCTAAATTAGTATATTAAGCATTCCCCATAAAATGTTAATGGGGGTTATTTAAATAATAATATATAGAAAATCCTCATATCCTTGTCAATAACAGTCTAGAAATGATTATCTGAAAATCTGGGCAATTTCAACAAGGAGCTAAATATCTGTGCATTTAAAAAAAATATCTAAGTCTGTAAATGTGTATGCATGCACAGACATACCTAACAAAATACACAAAGTGCCAAACTAATCTTCATAAAATTTGCTAATTTCTTTTAGACAATTCTTTAAAAAAAAAAAAAAAAAAAAAAAAAAAAAAAAAAAAGCCATAATCATTTGATTAACAAAACAAAATAGTAAACTTTATTTTTGCATATTTATTCACATCCTCAAAACATTCCAAATGAAAATAATGAGTTGCTTATTTATAAATGAAAGAAAATCTTTTTTCAGATGTTATGCTTCAATTAAATTTTATTTTAATAATGTGGCTAAACAAGTAATTTGATGAGGATAATAAAAATAGAGCTATTAGGATTCAAATCATGAAATAATTTTCCAAAATTTGAAGATACTTTAATGACATAAATTGAATTACCTGTGGATGTTTCATGAAAATCTCGCTAAAAGTGGGTCGATCTTTTGAATCATCTTCCCAACATTTTTTCATCAGTTCATAGTAATCCCTTGGGCATAGATCTGGGCGATCTAAACGCTGGCAATTAGGTTGATCAACAGCTTCAAGAATCTAAAAGAAAAAATAAATATTTCAATTCAAAAGCAGCCATCAAATGACATATATAGAAGCTATTGAAGATGATTAGACAAAGTGGAACATTTTTTATTAAATCAAAGACTCTTTTCACTACGAGAGAAGATGTGTGTTCTCTTTGGCTTCTTCAGTTTGATAATGAAAGAAAGATAAAAACATTGTGAGGAAAAATAGAAACTATTTCAAATTATGAAAATTAGCACTTTTAGAAATTTAGCTAAATACCTTAGGCTCTGCCTTTATAATTTATTACTTTAAAATTATATGGTGGTTTAATTTCTGGAGAGAAATTAATCTGGTTTGAAAAATTTTAAATAGTATTGATGTTCTAATCCAAACAAAACTGACTAAAAATCCGTTTTTAAAATTTGTAAGAGAATGAATAGGTTAGAAATTAACTGATGTACTAAGCAAAGTAAGCAATAAAATTAGCATTGAAATACAGGTCATATTGGTAGCAGTTGCATAAAGCCTTACTTATGTAAACATTAATAGAGTTGCTTTATGAATACCTTAGAAACATTAAAAGAAAAAGTTTTTAAAGTATTATGTCAATATTTTTTTTGATCTAATGGCAAAAGTTATACAAGTATCTTTTAATTGAAAATATTTAAAAAAAAAAAAAAGTCACTGGAAAAAAAAACAAAACTTCAAAGAATTTCATGAACTATCTTTTTATGAGTAACTCATAATAAAAATATAGTTTTACAGTATGCTATATGTGTGTGTGTATATATATATGTATATGTGTGTGTGTGTATGTATATATATATATATGTATATGTGTGTGTGTATATATGTATGTGTGTATATATATGTATATGTGTGTGTATATATATGTATATATATATATGTATATGTGTGTATATATATGTATATGTGTGTGTGTGTGTGTGTATATATATGTATATGTGAGAGAGAGAGAGAGAATATGTAAATATAAAAAGGTCAATACCCAGCAGCTACAGTGTGTTTCATGCTTGAATGCAATCTTCAGGGCATGTGTTTTGACTCAACTATTTATATAGGTTAGTCAATGGTACATTATTGCTATTGTATTATCCTAAAAATTAGTAGATAGACTGTAGAAGTTTATTCTAGCGGATATTGAGTAGATATAGTTATTTGTATTTATTAGATAGTGTTGTTTTAGATTTTACTCATTATTTATTGTTGACTTCATTACATATTGCTGATTTTTATTATTGCATGTGTTTATGCATGCATTCATAGTTTCTTAATTTGTTTATTATTTACTTTTTTTATTTAGACTGTTTTTTTATTTTTTTCTGGAGTTGGTTATCTTATTTGTTTAGTTTAAAATATTGGCATTGTCTGAAGTATGTTACATTATCTACCTTGTATATATTTGCATTTTTCATAGTGGTATTTTACAAAGTATTCATTTTTCATTAACATAGTTAAAATTTGTTTTCATGTCTGCATTAATAAAATTTGTTTCTCACCACTATGCTACTCAGAATTTTATGTTTATAAGAATTATCCCTCAAATGATTGATATAAACATGAAACTCCTAGTAGCATAAAGCAGTGAAGAGTAAATTTATAATTATTCTTAGTATAAATTTTAGTTGTTATTTTACATCATGCACAATTATTACTAACAGTGTACTATTTTATGTATGTGTATAAACTAAAATACATCTAAGCCTAAATATTCATAAAGCTAATATGATTTCACTTTCAGCAAGTGAAATGCTAATTTTTTTCATTTCTCTTAATATTTCTCTTATTGTTATTTCTGTCTATTAATATTTCTCTATTACTTTCAATATATTTTTAAACATATTCATTAACTTGGTGAGTTTATAAAATTACTTTCAGCTCTTGACCTACCTGCTGTCCAGTCATTCCAGCCCAAGGCTGGAATCCATAAGTGAACATCTCCCATAAAGTTACACCATAGGACCAAACATCACTGGCTGACGTAAACTTCAGATAATTGATGCATTCAGGGGCACACCTATAAGAAACAAATTGTGACCTGCATTCATCTATGAAAGAATTGGTTATGACGGTCATAATTCACCATCAACACTACAACATAACTCAAAAGTAAACAAATGCAATCTGTTTGATAACCTGTGTTTTTATAAATTAAAAAGTATTTTCTGGCGTTTTCTAAAATATTATACAGAAACAAATAATGAAGATACATGATATTCTTTTTTTAGAATACCAAATGTATAAAGTTTTAAAAGGAAAAAACATTCAACCTTTATGTTTAAACCATATTTACTGATTTAAAATAATTTTTACAAAATTTAGTATTGCTTTTGACTACAACCATCTATATAACTAATGTAAAAAAGGAAAACTGATATCAACAATGTCCATTCCCTAACAGATACATTAATTCACAAATTATCATCTCATTTCAAAACCAAAAATAGTCATTCACAAGTGATCATATTATGGACATTTCATGAATGATTTATACTAAAATAAAATATCAAAATAGGAGAGAAATTGCTTACCAAGCAATGGGCAGCTTGAGGTTGATAGTAAAATTGCTTTGGTAGTAATCTTTACCAACCCCAAGAGCTCGCGACAAACCAAAATCACTAATTTTCACCTTAAAAAAAAAAAAAAAAAAAAAGTGATTAATTCCACATCTTATAGATACACTCTTTCATTTATACAATGGTGTTAAAAGAACATTTTCATCTTAATACCAAAGTCTAAGAAAGTAATGCTTTATTATAGGAACATGAATGTACAGAGGTCAGATTATCTCAGTGTATTGTGTTTCCATTCTGGCTGAACCCTCCCACAGTATTCTTTAAATGTACTAAATGTATAAAGAAAAAAAAAAAGAGAGGATTTCTTCTTAAAGGAGGGCAAAGCAAAAAAATAGTAGCAAACAAAAAATTCAACATGTTTACACAGTAGCACTTAAAATTTAGGTTATTTCATTTTTAGTAATGCATGCAGTATAACTTATTCTGTAGTTTATAGACAAGGATGTTCTCAATCCTTTGTTAAGAATACTCTACAATGTTCCCATTGAGTAACACAAACCAAACTGTGTTAAAATCCACATTGGTCTGACTTTAGTATCTAGCCAACAAATTGAAGTATGCCAATTCTTTCAATTTACTCACTCTCAAGTAGTCTTCGGTTAAACATCATCATAAAGAAAAAGTATGCTCTTCTCTCTCCAACTATGACCTGTCATACCAGAATTTTATACTTCTGCTTTTGATATGGCATATGTTCCCAAGTCTGACTTGAAAGGACAGTTAATTTCTCCAGTATATACTCTTTCTTACACTTGCATGATATGTTGTAAATGCAATCTTTTGTCAAACTCTTATTTAAAAAAAAAAAAAAAAAAAAAAACTTCCTATAATATGGTCATGATGAATGATTGTGCCATAGAAATTCAACCTGCTATCATAAATCCTTTTGATTCATTCCCTTGAATCTCTTGGTATTCTCATAGTAGTTATATAGTTGATGTCATTGGGTTCATTTCCAGTCTCAAATACAACTTAAAAGGACAGATAGTTATTACACTGGACAATTCTCTTTGTGTCTTAATTCTCTGCTCAGTTTCATGGATCACTGCTGATCAAGTCACTGAAGCTCACCATGGTGAAAGAAATGGTTAGTATGCTGCCTTTGAGACAAAGGTGATAAAGTTTCGGGGAACAACAGTTCAAGTAACCAAATAATTTTTTTTCTTTTAAAACAAAAGTGGTATTGTTTTCTTCAAAGTTGTTCCCAATATTCTTAAATTTTTGTTATTTTTCTATCATTTTCAAACATGTACTGAAACTGAAAAACATTTTAATACAGATAATAAAAATGAGGAAAAAGTTAATTGAAATATAAACGAAGAGGATCAGAATAAGCGATTTCTTTCTATCATGATCCAACCCAGCTTCATTTAGCTGTCTTAAACAATATCTCTAATTGTACAACCAATAGTTCCTTCTCTGAATACCTGAATGATTCAACACATCAAATTCAACTGAATTCAGCCTTATTTAAAAATTATACAGCAGACTAGTTTCTCACAAATAAATTTTTTTTTCTTTTTTTTACTTGATACTATGAATATGTTTTTTGATGCAAGTGAAAATGATTGCTGAGAAGATCAAAAGATAATTGACTGGAAAAGATTTGTGCTGCAAACATTCAACATGTAAGCTTTCGCTAATATTCAAGGATTTTCTTAGTCTTTACTAATACCTGCAAAAACCAATAACATTAAATAAAATATCTAGTAGTCATTGTAGTATTTCATCCAATTTAGCTTACAGAATGATTTACCAATATGAAAAATTACTTACCTTGTTCTTACTAAATACTAGAATATTTCGAGCTGCTAAATCTCTGTGAATGAGACGCTTACTTTCTAGATAAGCCATTCCATCACAGATTTGCTGAGCAAAATCACAAAGCCGAGGAATAGGGAAGTCAAGTCGTAATGAAGGTTCTTTCAGGCACTCAAGGAGAGAACGCATTGGTGCCAATTCAGTCACCTAAAATTAAATAAACAAATTAAAAATGTTAAAAACAGGTGAAATGTCATGTTTTACTTTAAATATTTTTGGCAAAATAGAAAAAAAACATGAATATCGAGGGTTTGAGTATGTATGTTTATGCCATTATAGCACTCAAACAACAATACCAATTGACTTAATTTGGAGCATGAAACTCACAAGACATCTAATTATGATATAGGTTATGTGAAATTGACCTTGGAGGTTATTCAAGGTCAACAAAGATCACAGTATGCCATTTCTAGCCAAATGAAGCGACTTCAAGTAAAATAGAGCAAGAGAGTTTATGAAGTATAAAATGTTCTTTGACATTAAAAATGGTAAGACATAAGGTCAAATTCAAACTCTGAGGTCACCAATTATAGCCTTAATTTGCAGTCTCTGTGATATGTGATAATATTATTAGAGGTAAACTACTATGTAAAAGTAGCTTGGACTTAAGAAAAAAAAATAAAATAATTTATTTTGTTTGCAAAACATGTACAACCCTGAAAAACATTTTTAAGCAAAAATTCAGAGATTTTCAGGATTAAACTTCATTTTTAAGTTGCTATTAATGTAATGGAGAAAAAAAAAAAAAAGAGGCTAAAAAGTAAAAGCAATTGCTAGTGGCTCGGTGAGTGAGATATACTTGTGCCAAAGAATAATGAAGTTGAAAAAATAAACTCAAAGTTGTTGCACTAAACTCATGGAGAAGTTGAGCTATAAAGGTCAATTGACAGACTCAAATATTTTGGAAACACTTCAGAACCCAATTGAGAAATTCAATTAAGTTCTGAAGAAGTTTCCTATTATAGGTCTTGTCTAAAAGTATGGTATTTCTCAATTGTGGTATTGCACTCAATTTGAAAGTTGATATTTTTTTCCAAATCATCAGCATTTTTTTGAGGAAACGAGTTTAAAGATTGAGTTTAGGTTCAAAACTGGAGCACTGGAATTTCATTTTGGTGACAGTGAAAAATTTAATGTAGTCAAAAAACTCTGTACCCTTATGATAAATAAATGTAAATATTTTTACTTCATTCTCAATAAATTAAAGAATAATAAATCAGAATTATGAATATAAAATTATTCGCTGTATAAAAAGTTAAAATAAAGATTAAATACAATGCATAATATAATGTATTTCCATTGTCCAGCAATGAAAATCAATCCCTTTTTAGAATTTTGGGGAATTTAGGTTTAGCTATTTAAAAATTAAAAAAATTACAATTGATATTGAAATTGAAACCACTGTTTGTCAGTGTAAAATCAAATAGTTCTTTTGTATTTTTATACAACAGACTTAATTATTTGAAAAAGAAAGTAAACCTTTTAGATTAACTAATACTATTTCTTTGTTTCTATTTTTCATGTTTAAAATTTACCTTTGAAAAATTTTATTAAAATATTGTTTGTAATTGTCCCCCTCACAAGAAGTTTCTGTGCTTGTTTTTTTTTTCTTTGTTTAATTTTTAAAATAATTGAAAAATATAAATTATCTCTTGTAATCTTCCCTACTCTGGTAAATGTGATATTTTCCTTCATATTTATCATGTATGCTAGATCTGTTTTTAAATGTATACACATTTTGAAATTTCAGGTTCCCAATGAAGAAAAGGAATATTTTTTAAAAACAGGACCAAAAAGTAGTTTCTAACTTGGAACTATTGACATATGCTGTAAAAAAAAAAAAAAAAAAAAAAAAAAAAAGTAGCAGCTGAAGCAGAGATATGAGACAGGCAAATTGAAAGATAGCAACAAAACTGAATTTTACACATGCTGCCACTACATCACATATTTTCCCACCAAAGACTTCCAGTGAAGAAACAACCAATATGACAGTTTTGATATTGTCTAAGGGAACGTCAGTCAGTTAAGTGCCGTACATGAGAAACGTTTGGGCAATTATGTCTCTTTCAATTCATGACTGATGAGGCAGAAGATTTACCCACAGTTGCCATTTCTTTCTGCGGTAGGCCAGATGTGAACCAAGGCTATAGGACCCACTCTGTCCTGCTATTCAACCCATAACTGGATGGCAAAGAGATGGATTCATACCAAGGGTATTTGCACATAAGTGAATGTAAAGAATTTGACTGGAAATCAAACTTGGAAACTTAGCTTTTTAGAAGTCCTTAGATATGCCATAGAACTTATTAAGTGTGATGTATCTCCCAACCTTGGGGCATGGCTTGCTAATACCTTTTTATTAGACCTTTAAGATATGGGCTTAATTCATTCTAGCCTTAACCTAAAGTACATTATCATTGATAAGTCAAAAATAGACAGGGAAAGGCAAGAGTAAAAATAACCACTCATGAGAAGCATGTTCATAACCATGAAAATATCATCTGCATTGGTGTTAATTGCAGAGTTAAGGACACTTTGCAATACAAAAAGATTATAGAGGAAAATGGCAAAATAAATAAATAAAAAAAATAAGAATACTGAAAGACCAGAGCGCCACTAGACATTCACCAGAAATGAACATAAAAAGTATATCACCCACAGAGTTATCCCTAATATCGATGCAACAGGTGTTGTTCTAGCACTTGTTCCAGTACAAACACAGGTTGTGAGGCAGGGCTTGTTACAGCTCTAGAGAAGAAAAAAGACTGTTCACTTCATCAAAATGAACTTCCATTTAGACCAATTATTAAGTACATTGATGAAACTACAAGGCAGCCTACTACTTTTCCTGGTCTTCTAGGTAAACTTTGCAGAAATGATTACCAAGATTTGTCCCAGATAGAATTTTACACTATCAGTAGCCCCCTGGATAACTTATATCTTACTGCAGGGACAATAATATATTTTAGTGACCAGAGACTACTCTTAGAATATACAGATGGAATTTCTCAAGAGAATGAGCCCTAGATTTGTTGCATGGAAAACTGGGTCTCTAAATGAAGCAAGATGCCTAAATGCAGAAGGTTGCATTAAAAAAATTTACAGCACAAAAATATTTTTTGTTTCAGAAGTACTGAGCCACCAAAGAGATTAAAATAAAATTATATTCAACTTTGAAGCAACAAACTGGTCAAATTTGATTAAACTCTCATAAAAATATCACATTATTATTAAATAATTGTTCCATCAAATAAGACCTTCATTTACTTCAAAGGGAAATTATACTAAATAATTTAGCTATATTATGATGTAATCTTATATATAAAAGTACACTGTGTGTGTGTGTCCAAGCAATTCGTCCGCTCCCACTGGTCAGATTTCAATGGTTCCTAGCTCATTAAAAAGCTCTCAAAAAGTTACATGCAGAGGACAATTTTCGTTGAGCTCAGATTCAGGGTTGCCAGATTATGCAAGGTTAAAAATATATATCAATATATTATACTAGCCATTATCATTGCTTTCATGGTTCAAGGGGAGTAACTTTTATTTTCCTTTTGTATCCAAAACTGCAGTGCACGTTTTATTATAAACTAGCTTAAAAGCCACCCTATCAGGCAGCATTTAAGCTGGCTCCTGTGGAGGACTCTTGGTTTAGCGATCATCACAATAGCTAAGGAGGAGTAGATGCAATAGGCATCAATAAACTACAGAAGAACTCAAAATTGATCGCTACATTTAAGTAGTGAATTAATGTTTAAGCTTACCTTTTAAAAGTTCAACGATAATTCTTCTGCTGCCACTTAATTTAAAGATGATTTAATGTACATAGATCCTTATTTGCCATACAATTATTTTTATTTCATGGGTGACAGAACAAGGGGTAATTTATAAGATATTAATATAGTGTAAAAGAGGGGGAAAAAGAAATTAGAATTAGTTATATACATTCAACATTTGAAGAGTTAGATAAACATAATAGCTAATTAAGTAAAACCTATATTATGGAATATAATGTATTATATTCTATAATTCACTATTGCATGAGCGAAGCAAATGCACTTTATTGAATGAAGTGAGATAAATGGTTGAGCAAACCCACATTCACTAATGCATTTGCTATGCTCAATGCACTTGCAGGAGCAAAGCGACTATACTCACAAGCTATATTATACAGTGCAGTAGTTTTAATGCAATTTTGAATAAACAATGCAAATTTAAAATTGTGTCTTATAATTTGTGCCCAGCAGTATTATGGTGTTAATACACTTCTCTATTTTTTTGTCTATTAATTACAACCTAACAAATCTTGTAAGATCTTATTCATTAACTAGCCTTTTTGTAATCATATACAATTTGTAGTTTTCAATTATCGAATACAGTAAAAAAATTGCATCAACTTTATTTGGAGTTATTCTTAAAACAGTAAAATTGTAAAGTAAGTTTGTAAGCAAAACCTGCGAGATTAGGTATTTCTGTTCATTTTTGTGATGTCCCTTAAAACTTAATGCTCAAAAATTGATAAAAGCTATGGATCTATTTTTTTGGTGGCATTACTTATCACATCAAACCCCAGCTTTCACAGAGAGTGCTATGTTGATTTTCCAAAAGAAAGTGAAAATGCCCTACTCTTACAAACCATCAGAAAGACATAGGGACAATCTCACTTTTTCATGTATAAATTATCTTTTTTCATTTGTTGTGCTGATCAAAAAAGAAATATATTAAAGAATGTTTCTCCCCTTTGGAACACCAGGTATACTTGCTAGTCTTTAATATTTTTAATTAAAGAGAATGTATTCAAGTATTTCTATTAAACTTATGTCTCCTAAATAAAATTTTATAAAAAATAATAGACATTAATTGTTCAAAACTATGCAAAACTATATAAAATTTTGACATGTATCAGGGGCACAGAGAAAAGGTGATTTTTATTTCTCAACTCTATAGAATGTGAAGTTTTCATACTAAGGCAAAATCTGATATACTATTAATTAGGCATAAACTGACAATATTTGCAACAAAGTGATATATGAGTAATAGAAAAAAAATGTAAAAGTTGTTGATGGATTGATTTGTTTGTTTGTTTTTTTTTACGGCTTACCAACCTCTTTCTAAAACATTTTGGATTGCAAGAATTGTTTTGTTTTTTGTAAGTGTATATTGCATTAATTTTTTTTCGAGAATAACAATTATTTTTCCAGATACAAGGCCTACTATTTAACATTATAGGAGGAGGAGGAGGAGGAGATGGATTCAAAGCTTTCCCAAGGATTTTTGTGTGCAAGTGAGTGTAACAAACCCAAATGGAATTTAAACTCAACTAATTTCTCAATCCAAGCTCCTATCCATTATACTACTTGCACATGTTTATATAACTGCTCAATGTGGCATTAACTAGAAAGACTGGAGAAAATTTATATGGAAGTGTATTTTTTTTTTACCCTTGGATGCATATGCTATTGCTTTGTAAAAATATATATTTTAACATTTAAACAAAAATGTATTTTTTCATATGAATGCAGAATTGGGCTGGCATTGATTTTGATTTAATTCCCAGGAAAAATAAAATCTTCACTTCTATTTAAGTGTTAGTAAAAACATTCAGCAAGATTAACAAACATTTGAAAATTGAAAAAAGTCACATCATAATTTTATTTGCTAAATCATATTTTAAAGTTACGTTCTGATTAAAAAAAAAAAAAAAAAAAAAAAAAAAAAAATATAGGCACAATAAAAATCTGTAATGTAGTGTTTTTTCCTTTTTTATTGAATATTTTCAATTAATTGGAAAATATTTTTCACTCTTTCTAATATTTAATGTTTTCATATTAACAAATAACAATGCTGAATAACTGAGATGATAAAAAAATAATTGCAGGAATTATTTTATAGATTTTGGGGTTTTTGTTCATTGGAAGTTATTTGCAAATGTCAGAAGCATCAATATAACTGTTTTTTTTTTGGTTTTTGTGTTTTGTTTTGTTTTTAACAAACTAAATATGATTGGCAATCTAACTACCTGATTGATAATTCTTGAAACAGCCCTAATTAAATCATTCAAAATTTTATTACCGTTATACATTCTATATTTTTAAACTTCACACAAACATACAAAATATACCCTTATTACTCACAACAAAAAATTTAAAAGAAATTAAATATTGTAGGCATTCTTTCCATTAGCAGAAATGTTTTATGGGGAAGATTTCCAGAATGGAATTTGTGAATACCAAAAAGAAGAAATAGTTTTACTTTTGGGAATTAGAGACAAATTTAATATAGTTTAAGAATAGATTCACATTATTTCAAGTTTTACAAAAAAAAAGATACTCTGGTGAGGTGAGAGTGTTAAAAAAAAAAAAAAAAAAAAAAGACTTGTCAAGAGTTATCTTCTCTTAACAAGTCTACTATCTATGGAGGAATGCATTTCAGCTATCAGTACCTATCACCTCCTCTTTATCATCAGGTTATGCCAATTACATGGATCCTCATAACTTTCTTTTTTGTCTTCATGATTATCTATCACACTTGGTAGGGATTCAGGTAGGCAGCCTGTATATTCATATATTTGATAAATATGTTTTGAATAGGTGGATCAATTTTTGTGTGATATCTTTGTGTGTCCTTTTAAAATTTACTAAATCATAAGGTGACCGATATAAATCTGCCTTTCTCATTGTTCCTGAGGTTTTTTGGTCTTTTGTTATTTATATTTTATCAGCTAAATTTACAATCAAATTAATAATCATTATTTAAAAAAAAAAAAAAAAAAAATGTTACAAATTTCATATATTAAAAAATATCAAACATGAAATGGATAGTAAAAGAATTCAAAAAGAAAAAAAAGTATATCTATAGAACATTCAAGTGATTTTATTAATTTTTTTAATTTACTTATTTATATTTATTTACAAATATTTCAAAGCAAATTGTGTTACATTTTCACAAGGTGCAAAAATTAATATAAACTAGAAAAGAGTATAAAAATTATTAGATTGATGACTTGTAAATTTCTAGATGCTTTCATTACTTTTAATTAGTTTAATTTTTTCAAGATTTTAATTTATTCTCAAAATGACATAACATGAACATTATTTTTTTTTTTTGGCTACTTCAGTGAAATTTCTTCTTACTCAAAAGAAAAACATCTAAATAAAAATTGTTTTAAGCAAAATATAATGCCATAATGAAAAATAATGAAAGATTTTTGTTAAATCAATTTGATTACATACTGATATGGTTAAATGTAATAAATAGAGGCACTACTTAAATAGACTGGTCCACTCATTAAAAATAGGGAATCTGGAACAGCCTCCAATCAATAATTTCAGAATTAATACATTAAATTTAAATGCTATTTAAGTTTTAACGACTCAGGCTATAATTGAAAATAAATGAAAACAGAACTTCATTTCTATGAATACCTATTTATTTATAGATTATAACATATGGATTATGACACAGTATAAAATAAATAAGAGCAAAAAGCTGATGCTGTTCAATGATTTCCCTGAGCTTGACATTCTTTAGCAAGACACAAAACATTTGGACAAAGGTTTGTTAATAAAACAATTTTTTCCATCTCTGTAACACTGAGGCAATTTTGTGATTCTGTTAACATGTGATTCATCCTAGAGAACAGTTTTCACTATATACGAAGTAGAAATGGAACAGAAATTTGACCTTCGACCACATAAGTTTGGATACCTGGCAGCAATACTCATGTATCTACATGACTTAACTTCGTTTATGACACTTTAGTTTCATTATCATGTTGCAACATGAGAAATTTTTCAAACTTTAATCTGTCACCTGATCTACATCAATAATGAAAAGATGAAAAATACAGTCAGACACATCCAATGTCCACAAATCATGAATCCAAGTTATCAGAAACAAATTTCAAATGTTCACCAAAATACACAACTACTGCATGAAATTTCATTGGCAACAACCACCAGTTGTGGGAAATAATGCAAATTAATGATAAAGTTGCATTGTCACAATAAGAAAAAAAAATGATACATTTAACATCAATGAAGGTAACATTATATCCTTGAAATTGCAAGAAATAAGAAAAATCTGCCACATAAAAATGTGGATTTTTTAACCTTCCAAATCTTGCCATTGATTCTAAGAAATTCTAGTACACTGTCAAATAATTTCAAAAATTTGCACAGACAGTTGCTATCTAACAATAATAACAGTGTAATAGTTAGCACTGATGATTTCATGGCTAATCCCACAACTACAAAAAAGTTATGGCTGTCAAGTCAAATGCCCACCAGCAAAGCTCAACACCTATCCACTGCAAAAATTCCAAATGCCCACAGCTAGTCAAACATCCACCAGTGGGTGTTATTGCCCAGGTTTCAAGACCACTGCTTTAGACTTTCCTTGGGTCAAAACACTGTCAGAATCAAAAATAACTTATCAATTTAGAAGGGATGTCCTGTCCATAATATCAATAAAAATTGATCCTTGACTTTGAAGAGTTATAGTAGGAACTAACTGTGCTTTCATCATTGACATCTGCATACAAGATGATTGTTGATCTGAATTACCCAGATCAATAATCACTTGTGATAACAACAAAGATAGAGACAACATTCTACATGTAAATAATAACCCCTCACTCCAGAAATTCTAACAGAAATTTATAAAAATGGTTGTCAAAGGTAAAGGGTGGTAATTTAAACAGGAAAAATTTCAATGCTAACTATATACTCACCAACATCATTGTATTGTCTTTGTCAAGGACAACACCAAACATACGTACAATATTCTCATGGTCAATTGTTTGCATAATGTTGGCTTCTTTTAAAAATTCTGGGACCCCATTTTGCATGCGATCCCGACTCAAACATTTTATGGCAACTTGAACCTGCAATTAAAAAAAAAAAAAATAACATTACTTTAAAATTAAACAAATAGAAAAGAATGTGTGTAAAATAAAGCAAAAAAGCAATTTTCTAACCAATATAATTGAATTTACAAAAAGCCAACATGTTATGCATTTATATAACATTTATGGCTAGACACAGCCTCTTCTTAGAAGCTTTTGGCAATGTTGTGTACAATATGCATTGGTTTTAGTTGAACAAAATTAATATTTTGATAGTATTCAGTTATTTTATTTTTATCAATACTTAAACTGGTGTTTTATTGTTCCAAAAGCACAACAATGTAGACAAATTATACCTGATTATTTAGTTTGCAAACTGAACAAAAAATAAATAATTCTTAAAATTTCTACATATTTACTTAATTTTGTTAATTACACAATATTAAAAAAAAAAAAAAAAAAAAAAAAAAATCAGCATCCATTTTCAGCCTATTACTGAGGGTGTACTAAAAACAATCAAATATTCTGATTTTTCTATCTTGAGGATAATAAAGTCAGACTTATACCAAATAAACTTTTATAGAAGTCTCATAATAGAATTGCTAACCTAAAACTATAAAAAATAAATTAAGATTAATTGAAAGTGCAATTTTTAAAGTGAATTCACACATTCAACTCAAAAGATGACCATGCATTGTTCTACTCTTATTATCAGATCACTACCCTTACTTTAAGAATTCAATATGAAAATCTATTTGTACAAGAACAGTAATATTATGGTGTGTATGCTTGAATCATTCATGTAACCAAATAAAGTCACTCAAGACATTTATACAAATACATTGGTGGTTAGTAGGTGAAAAATCAAAACATCTCACTTTTAAAGGAAAGAAGATAAATAAAAAAAATAGACTTTGGCTAAAACTCATACCAACTTTTACAATTTGTGGTTGTGATATTGTGGGCAGCTTTTTAATATAGCCTAAAAAGTATTAAATATACAAAGTTGATTTATAGTGAAATAAAAAGGTTTGCTAGTAGACAAATCAAATTATAATTAGTAGATAAATATGCACACAAGGGCATGTTATAGATTTTGTCTACCAAGATAACATGAGAAATGAAACAAAAATTCAGAAAGTAATAATAATCTTGAGATAATTGGCAATTCACAGTGAGGGTGGGGGATCTCTTGGATGAGGGAGAACTATTCTAGTTCCCAAAAATAACTAAGAATTCTAAGAGTTAACCTGATGTGTCACAGAATTTTAAAAATATAATAAGAAATTCACAGTAAACAAAGTTCACTCTCTCTATGAAAAAGTACTAAATAATAATAATAATAAAAAAAAAATTAAAAAAAGGCATCATCAACTTTATAGTGCATCATCAAACATTTATCTAGGGATTTAAACTACAAGAAATAAACAAATGTATTACAAAAATTTCCCTTTTACTTTTTATTTCTAAATTTCCACCATAAAAGTATAAATTCAACAAACTAATCCAATGAACAAAAAAGATATTCTTTAAAAACTTACTTTTTCATCATTTTCAGTCGTCCATATTCCTTGTTGTACTACTCCAAATTCTCCTTCTCCAAGTGTTTTATTTGAAACAATGGAATCTGCTGGGATGATCTGCTTTCCTGAAGGTCTTATGTAAGAGACTGGACGTGATATTCGGTGTTCTGGAGGAGATGGACTCAGGGAACGTCCCACAGAAGTATCACTGGCCCGTAGTATGGCCTAAAGTAAAAAGAAAAATCCATGTTAGAATGAAAGAAGCAAAATTTCTGTTAAATATTTCAAGTATCCCTAGAAAAAAAAAAAAAAAAAAAAAAAAAAAGTTGATAAAGGATGCAAAAATGACTCAAAAACATGTTTAATCAATATTACCAGTAGAAAAAAAAAAAAAAAAAAGTATTCTTCATATCACATGAAAATATATTTTTACAAATAATTGAGAACTATATTTAAAGAATTACATTAAAAAAAATACACAAACCGTGTGTGTGTGTGTGTGTGTGTGTGTGTGTGTGTATAACCTACATGTACACAATGGGGAGAAGAATTATTTGGACATTTCCAAAATATTTAAGGAACAATGTCAGATGTTTCAGTAGCATAGTCAATATTCTAATTTGAAGATAAATGTATAGTTATATTTTTAATTCAAAGATATTCCTAGAACCATTTTTTTTCTTTCATATTTTCAAATTCCACATCAAAATATATTACCTGTGCTAATTTTAAGCAAATTTATATGGGAATATATTAAATATTTGGACATTGTAAAAAAAAAAAAATATTTATTTTCACTTATAAAAAACACATGCAAAAACTGATAAAACAAACACTTTACCAATTTTTAACAGAATTTAAACTAAAAGCACTGACACAAAAAAATAAAAAATTTCAAAGAGATGTAAGAATTTAGTGACAATTCTCAAAAACTAAAGCTAAATATTTATCATACAGTATCAGTTTTCTTAACTGTATCGCTAAAAGGCGATGTTACTAAAAGCCAATTAGAAATTTAGTTATCCATATTCAAAATGCTTTATAATTGCCAACAGCTTAACAAGAATGAAATTAACAAAGCATTAATAATCACAAGACATTATGAGGGAGGTTAGGGTGTCATATAATCAAGTATAATGTCCTTAATACAATTAAAAAAGATGAAATGATGGTCCTTTTGTCAGCATTTATAAAACAATTATCAATAGGCAATAGATTTTTGTCTACATTTGTCATTTAAAGTTAAATAAAATGATTAAACTCAAAATATTCTTTAAAAACTAGTTTCATTTTCAGATACAAATATATAGTTTTCAAAATATTCCAAGTAATATTTTCATCTTGGTTGTTTTGTTCAAGCAAAGAAGTTTTTTGATGACATCTGAGACTGAAATGTATGTAAAAATATTTAATTTTATAAGAAACAATTAGACAGAGAAAAGGGAAAAAGAAAAAAAAATGTATTTTGAAAAATCTTATTCCCCATAATTATTTTAACATTTGTGGGTAGGAGAGAATGCAATCAAGAATTATTGGCTACAAATACCAGCAAGACACACATCAAATTTGAACCTCTACATGCTAACTTTTAAAGGATCAGAATAATTCTTAATAGTGACATACATTTGGTATTTACTTACAAATTTTGCACATGGACGTTTTACTTTTGTTAAAATCAAAATAATCAAATTGATATCTACTAAAGATTTTATGTATAATTTATGATTTTCCTTCTGCCATTATAATTACTTTTAAAGAGTTAAAATAAAAGCTTTTCAAAAACTACAACCAAATTATTAGGTGATTGTTCTATAAACATTCTTTTAACTCAGATACTATTTTAAAATGGGCAAACATTCATGCACATATACAGTGGAGGGTGGGACACATATTTGTACACACACAAATTTATTGCAATTCCAACAAATGAATAAACATACATTTCATATAATTAACTGTACACAGATGCATAATAACTAAATATGCATAGAAAACAGAAAAAAATTTAGATTTAATAGAAATAAATCCTGTTTATCCATTTTAATGGGTGAAAAAATACTCATACAATACAAAAAAGAATACATAATCTTCATTAATACTTTGTAGAGCAACCATTATTTACTTGTAGAGCAACCATCCACTTCTTGTTCTCAATGATTTGCAAATTTTAGTTGGTATTTTGTTCCATTCTTCTTCACATATGGTCTTCAGATCCGGGATGTTTGTTGGAGGTCTCAATTGGATTTGAATTTTCAAATAATGCCACACTTTCTCAATTGGGTTTAAATCTGGAGACTGACTTGGCCATTTCAGGACATTTACATTATTTTCAGCAAGCCATTTTGCCTACGATCATTATCTTGTTGGAAGATCCAATCAGGAGGAAGTTCAAAATTTTCAACCAAAATCATTACATTTGCTTCCAAAATACTTTTATATGCTGCAGAATTCATTCTATCATCTATTATTGATATGTTGTCAGTACCTTTTACAGAAAATCACCAAACCATGATGCTGCCACCACCAAATTTCACTCTTGGAACTGTGTTCTTTTGTTTGAAGGCATTGCCATCTTTCCTCCATACATTATTTCTAGAATTACATCCAAAGAAATCAATTTTGGTTTTGTCTGTCCATAATACTCTTTCCCAATACAATTTTTCCTTATCCTTATATTCAAGAACAAATTTTAATGTGGCATCTCTGTCTTTTTTCAAAAGCAGGAGTTTTCCAAGGGGAACCCAACTTTAGATTGTTCCTATGAATTTCATTGTTTATTGTCCATTTAGTGAGATTCCTGATGAAAGCAAATCATTCTGCAACTCTTGACGAGTAACCATTGGATTTTGTTTAATTTGACACATTAATTTCCTTGAAAATCTTGAAATCTTCTGTGGAGCACTTGTTCTTTGGTTTTCAAGTTTTGAGTTTTTTTTATACCTTGCAATAAATGAATGGCACTAAATGGAATATTCAGGCTGTCTAAGATTTTCCTGTAATTTTTACTTTCTAAGTTCTTTTTGTGAATTTGTCAGTTCTTTACCTCTTACTATGATAACCTTCTTGCACAAATAGCAATTGCAGAATGTTCTGTTTGTATTTTTTAGGCTAAAAATAACTATTGATAACATTGAAACATTCTAGAATATTCTACTTGAATAATCAAGAGTATTAAAGTAATTGAAAAGCTTTAAAATCTGAAATTTGCATTGCATGAATACTTTTTTCACCCATTAAAATGGATAAATAGGATTTATTTCTATTAAATCAATTTTCTTCTGTTTTCTATGCATATTTAGTTTTTATGCATCTAGGTACAGTTAATTATATGAAAAGTATGTTTATTTATTAGTTGGAAATACAATAAATAAAAAATTTGTATGTGTACAAATATTTTTCCCCACCACCACCTGTATGATTGAGAAGTTCATGCTAATTTTTAAGGGAAATAAAAATACAAAACAAAATTATGCCATTAAATATTTATTCAACTAAATATGAACCATTTTGTTACACAACCATTCTTCATTTTTCCTTCAACTTAAAGATTCCATCTTCCCAGAATTTTGATGATTTCTTGGCAAAGAACTTATTAAGGTATTTTTTTTAATGTCACCTGAAGAATTAATTTTTTTTTTATAATTGAGATTATTTTGCAAGGACCTGAAAAAATGAGAATCTGAAGGCGCAATGTCCGGTGAATATAGTAGGTGGGATAACACCCCAGCCAAGCTGCAACAATTTTTACAAAGTCACCAAAGAAAAATGAGGTCTGGCACTATCCTGATTGGGAAAAAAACACCATTCCTGTTGACCAGTTCTGGGCGTTTTCTTGGATTGCTGCTTTAATTCATCCAGTTGCAAACAGTACTTTTCAGAATCAATTAACTGGTTACTTGGCAGAAGCTCACAGTACAGGATTCCTTTCCAAATGCACCACATGTTTTTCTTAGGATGAAAATCTGCTTTTGAGGTGGCTAAAGTTGGCTCATGTCATTTACCAGAGTTATGTGTTTACATTGATGTGACTTCACATGCGCATGAAGGGGAAAAGTGATGCTGAGAATTTATTAAAAAAAATAAATAAATAAAAAATTACGTTTGGGGTATATAATCGAGCAGATTTCATTTAGATTCTTATATACCCAAAACACACACACAAAAAAAAAAAAAAAAAAAATTAAATTCTCACCATATGTCTTTCCTTCGGACACATGTGTAGTCAGATCAATGTAAATACATCATGCAAAAACTTTGACACGAGGTGGCTAAAGTTAGCACATGTTCATGTCACTTACCCCAGGATCTTTTTTCACTGAACATTGTTGTAAACAATCGGTTTCTACCATTACAATTTGCTTTAAAAATGGTGCATTTTCATTGGATTTATACAGAAATTCACTGATTAATTGTGATCAAAATGTTTTTCACTCAGATCATACGGTACCTAAATATCATAGCAATTTGAATACCCAAGTTTCACTAAGTGCTCATCACTGGTGGATTTTGATGAATTTAGTGTTTCTGCCAATTCCTGCATTGTGTAATGTGGGTTATTCTCAATCAAAGTCTTGATATGGCCATCATCAATAATGATGGTGGTTCTCCCCATCAATAAGGCTACAATCACCAACTCTATATAAACTTAGCAAACAACTTCTGTACAGTTCTGTCAGCTAAAGCACCTTCCCCATGCACCACACATACCTTCTTTTATTTTTTCTTCAAGGCATTTTTTGCCTTTATGGTAAAAAAAAAAAAAAAAAAAAAAAAAGCATCAAGTGTGTAAATGCATCTTATAATCTTCCATTTTCATAGGGATGCAAAATTTACATGAATTAAGTAATTTTAAACTTTCTTTCTCTAGAAAGTTTGAAGTGTGCTCTAATCAGAAATTGGTTTTTGCCTCTAGTTACACTCATTTTCAACATCTTATGCAAAAATTAGACTGGATACAGAAATTATTTCCTCATATTCACACTGGAAAGAATAGATATTCATGAAAAGAGTTACTTCTGTCTCACACTATTTACAATAGAATATATCAGAAAGATCAACAGGATTTAACATCCCAGCTGTTTGGTTAAATCATACAAAATCTGATCAAAAATAAACAGCAATGAGATGAGATGTAGAATGTAACAAGAACAAATTTATAAAAGAAGCAGTTTTTCTTTAAATAAAAAAAGAAGTAAACACCTTGAATGATTGTATATAATAGGATT